ATCTCAATGTGAGAAAGGAATCCATCAAAATCCTTGAGGAGAACATAGACAGCAACCCCTTCCACCTCAGCCACAGCAACTTCTTCCTAGAAACATCGCCAAAGGCAAGGAAAGCAAGGGCACAAATGAACTACTGGGACTTCATCAAGATCAAAAGCTTTTGCAAAGCAAAGGAAACAGTCAACAAAACCAAAAGACAGCTGACAGAATGGGAGAAGATATTTGCAAATGACATATCAGATAAAGGGCTAGTATCCAAAATCTATAAAGAGCTTATCAACTTCAACACCCAAAGATCAAATAATCCAATCAAGAAATGGGCAGAGGACATGAACAGATATTTCTGCAAAGAAGACATCCAGATGGTCAACAGATACATGAAAAAGTGCTCCACGTCACTCAGCATCAGGGAAATACAAATTAAAACCACGGACAGATACCACCTCACACCAGCCAGAATAGCTAAAATTAACAAGTCTGGAAATGACAGATGCTGGCAAGGATGAGGAGAAAGGGGAACCCTCCTACACTGTTGGTGGGAATGCAAACTGGTGCAGCCACTCTGGAAAACAGTATGGAAGTTCCTCAAAAAGTTGAAAATAGAGCTACCATATGTCCCAGCAATCGCACTACTGGGTATTTACCCTAAAGATGCAAATGTTGGGGCACCGGGGTGGCTCCGTGGATTAAAGCCTCTGCCTTTGGCTCAGGTCATGATCTCAGGTCCTGGGATCAAGCCCCGCAACAGGCTCTGTGCTCAGCAGGGAGCCTGCTTCCTGCTCTCTCTCTGCCTGTCTCTCTGCCTGCTTGTGATCTCTCTCTCTCTCTGTCAAATAAATAATTTAAAAATCTTAAAAAAAAATAAAGATGCAAATGTAGTGATCCAAAGGGGCATGTGCCCCCAAATGTTTATAGCAGCAATGTCCACGATAGCCAGACTGTGGAAAGAACCTAGATGTCCATCAACAAATGAATGGATAAAGAAGATGTGGTATATATATACAATGGAATACTATGCAACCATCAAAAGAAATGAAATCTCGCCATTCACAATGATGTGGATGGAACTAGAGGGTATTATGCTCTTGAAATAAGTCAATTAGAGAAAGATAATTATCATATGATCTCCCTGATATGAGGAATTTGAGAGGCAGAGTGGGGGGTTTGGGGTGTAGAGAAGGAAAAAATGAAACAAGATGGTATCAGGAGGGAGACAAACCATAAGAGACTCTTAATCTCACAAAACAAATGGAGGGTTGTTGGGGGTAGTGTGGTAGGGAGAGGGTAGTTGAGTTATAGCCATTGGGAGGATATGTGATATACCCTAGTTAGTGTTATGAAGTGTGTTGTGAAGTATGTAAGCCTGACGATTCACAAAACTACCCCTGGGGCAAATAATAAAAATAATAAAATGAAAATTTAAAAAAAAATAAATACAAATAGATACAAATGTGGAAACCCAACTACATAACTCCCAGTTAGAACTTTAAGGCCTGTTAATGTCTTCTTTTCTTCTTACTATGTTAATTGCAAGTTAATTTCTTGCTATGTTAATTTAAAGTTTGTGGGGGATAGTTTTTTATCTAGTAAGGTATAATGGTGGACATTATATAAATAAGTACTCAGGAGAGGCAACTGAGCATAAAAGGGTAACACCCAGTCACTGGGGATGAAGTCCCAAATTCTCTCATTGCAGAGTAATGAGAGTGACAGGAGCTTTAAACATACAGTCCAGAGTGTGACTGTGGCTCCACTGTTTACTCCCTTTGTTTCAGAGACAAGAGTTTCAGCTTTCACAAGCTTAAGCTTTCTCATCAGCAGAATGAAAGTATTTCTTAATAATAGGTTTGTAAAGATTACATGAGATTATGGTGCTTGTCACTTTAAGGACAGCTAGTATTATTCATCACATCAAAAAAATAAACCTGAGAGCACCAATAATTGAAAAATATCTGGATGAAGCAGTGACTCAAGGGTAAGAATTAATTACCACCAGAGAGTCAGGCTGCAGACCAGTTGCAAAAACCTTTGCTATGAATTGTGCAGTAATTTTTCTTAGAATAAAATTACCTTTTTTTGTGTGAAAGAGGCAAATATACATGTGATAATAAATATTTGTTAGTTTATACAAAGAACCCATCTATAGTCATTTGTTAGCATTTATGTTTATAATGAAGTGTGCTTTGTATGTAACTGTAACCAATAGCTTGTGTAGATAGTACATAAATTAAGAACAGTTTAGTATTTTAGGATATGGAGAATGGCATGGCAGGCACACTATTTCTAGACTCCTTCATGGAGGTTCAGTGTTTTCTCAGGAAATGGTCTGATTGGAGCAATGGCAAATGTAGAGTCTGATTTTTGAAGCGGATTTCACATTAGACTTCGGCTAAGGAAGATAAGAAAAGAAAGGATCTCAAGAAAAAGTCCAGGAGAAGGACAGTGAAGTGAGAAGATACAGAGACCAGCATGTAAGAAATAAGAGAAAGGTCAGACATTCACAGGGAATCCAAAAGATGAAAGGATAAAATACAGTACAATTATTGGCAGGATTTGAGATACTTTGATGAGCTCACAAGCTGAACTGTCAAAAGTTCATCTCAAGCTTTCTATTAATGGAAAGATAAATCAGTCCTTCACAAGATTTCACCCTGGAAGAAAGGAAAATGCAACATCATTCAACTTATAGGGAAGCCAGAAATGAAGGATTTATCTTCGACAATACCTATTCCTCGAACTTCATATCCAATTAATTAAGTTCCTTTATATTTTCACTCTTTTATATTTCTATAATTCTCCCTCATTTCTTTGTTTCCCTTCTAGTCCATGTTTCTATCACATCTTAACTAAAACTGCTATACCAGGCAGTGATCCAGTCTCCCAGAGTCACCTGCCTCCATCTCACACCTCTTCAATTCTCTACTAAACCTAAAAGCTAGAACCCATATTTTCCAAAAGCAAATACATACAGCTATGTATGTATTTGCCTAACCATACAACTGCTGCCTCCTTGAAATACTTCTTTGATTCTCATTATTTTCAGTACTAATTTAAAAATCAACAACTTATAATGTCTAGATTCAGTTCCTACTTACTTCTTTAGCTCTATCAGCTTGTATAATATGTCCTTCTTGTTCTATGTTCCATACTATTCAGCCAATATTGATTGTCCATCAATTTCTTATATATAAGATATTTCAATATTTTCAAAACAATTGAATTAATGATTATTGGTCCAAATGAATATATTTTATTAATTGTTGGTAAGAAAATATCATTGCTCAATTTTTGGTAATAATTATAAATAAAGTCCACTAAATGAAAAGAAGCCTGTGACTTTCTTGAAGACAAATCCATCAAATAACTACTAGCTACCAATCTATATTGATAGAAAATTGTCCTCACATTTTTCTGAGATATAACATCTTTCCCTTCATACAATTCACAAAGCCTTTTGGTAAGGATTTTACATTCATGATAAAGTGCTTAAACAATTTTCTGTTAGACTTTGATGAATTTCTTATGAGATCACCTGACTGTCAGTCTTAGAAGGCACGTAACGTCCTTTAACTGATCTTTCAAGGTATTTAATGATCATTACCTAGTCTAACAATTGGATAACAATCCAACCATTATTTCCCTCTCCTCTGTAAAAAAATCCTCTACGAAGAAAAAAATCTTTGCATTAGCCTTCTTATAAAGGTTCTTCTCTTATGGGAAGTTTGAAATAAGTATTTAAACAAGTTTATAACCAATTCACTCAAGTTGCTTTAATAGCACTAAACTTAGATGAGTAAAGAGCTAGCATAAGTAAAAGAACACTTCAGTGGTTAAAGACTCTCAGATCTACTAGTGATACTCAAGCCAGCTTTTTAAATATGATATGTGGAAACTCTTGAAAACCTGTGAATTTAAAACCTGCACTTCTTATTGCTTTAATTAAGAGATTGATCATTCCTCATATAAGTTCTGATTTTAAATTTTTAGTATGTTTCAAAGCATGAGAGTTTGATATATCTATATGGATTACTGATCACCCTTTCTTCTATCCTCTTCCAAATCACTCTCTCATGCTTATTGGAAAATGAAATTGAACAGAAACTGTCTTGTTTGGTTTTGCAGTAATGGAAAAGAGCAGATACTCAAAGAAGATATACTATGAAGATATACTAATATACTAATACTATACTATATACATACTATACACATATATATACTATATATATAAATATATATATAAAACTAACATATTATATATATGCAATATATATACTAAGATACTCAATGAAGATAAACTAAACTATTACTACAACTAATAATAACAATAATAACAACAACCACAACTGATCCAGAAATCACAATACACCAAGATTCAAACAAAGACTAGGATAATTCAATGTTAAATATTTAGAGTCATAGTATCTGGAAGTATGTCTAACTTCACTTCAAATATATTTTCTACTTTGGGGAAAGTTACTTTTTTTTTCTTTTTAATGGTTAATTTAACAACATTTACCAATAAGTTATGATTTAACCTGCTAGGTTAGGATGTGGATAGAAATAAGTTCCCTGTCTTATTTGTGTAGTCTAGTTCTGTAAAAATTTATGCAAAGGAAGTTGATAATAAGCTTGAGCCCAAAGAGGGAAAGAAGTTCTTCTCAATATTCTATATTTTGTGTATGCACAAATTACCATTCCCCCATCAGCAAAAAAGAAGTCTTCAAATGTTTGTTTAGAAATCCATAAATTTTAAGGAGATCCCTTTTGAATTTTTTTCTTCTTTTGAAACAAAATTTCTAGTTATCAGACTATTATGTGCAACATAATTATAGCATTCTACAATTGTAAAGATATAGCATATTATTAAATCTCTGAATAATCAATTCCAATTTTCAATTAACAACACAGAATTGGATAATAAAAAAAAACATACAAAAGAGACTTGTGATTATTATAAATTGAATGACATTTTTTTAAGTTGTAATGTGCAAAGCTCTTACCTCTTGAAATAACAGTTTCCAACCCAGTTCCGTTAATAAAAGCCCGTTTAATGGTTTGTGTTTTAATATCTGTCCAGTATAAACGTTCTTCAGATGCATCAAAGTCTATCACAGTAACATCATCAATATCAGGGACTGTAAAGGCCGTGATAAAGTTAAAATATGGATTATCAATATCCACTCCTCTGATTTCAGAACGCCTTGCATATAGAAGAAATTTTTTCATTTCTAGAAAAGAAACAGAAATAAGTGTTTTTCCCTTCTAACCTCGGCAAGTTTGAAGCAATCTAGAAATTCTAAAATTATTTCTCGTTATTTAAAATAATTTTAACATCAAAAAATCATAATCGAGATTTGATAGGCATAAATGAGCTATTATTTAAATTAAAATTCTTAAGAAACAAATGAAAAACAAGTTAGAATTCTTAAGTCATTATTTTTCTTTAGTTAGAAATACCAAGAAATTCTCAGTGATTTGATCTTATAATTTTAAACAATTCTTAAAACACATGAACTCTGCAAATGTCAAACAACGGTATTTGTTCTTTGTACCTACCTAATCAGAGCAAAATTAAATGATTTTTGAAGGCATCTAAGAACATTTTTATACTATCTCAATAAAATTAAACATGGATTTAAAAGTCATGTTCATGTTTTCCTTGTCAAAATTGGGCTTCAAATAATGTTAAGGTATGTTTTATTACACATTTTTAAAAATCTGTAGTAAGTAACATTGTGAGGCATTGCATCATTTTTACTTCCCATAAGCACCTTTTGGAACTGAGTTTATAAAATAGGAGATTAAATAGAAATAGATGTCACAAATAATCTATTATTTCATTGTTCTCTTTGGAATTATTTTTGTTGTGATATGTTAAGATTATATATAATTAATTAAATCAACATGCACCTACATTCCTAAGTTAAGATTTTGTGAGCACATTCTTCTCTGCCCTTGAAAGTGATTGCTCCACAAATGAACAAAAATTACTCAAAATTAAAAGAAACCAAAACAGAAAAAAAACCTACAGTCTGATTTCATTCACAAATTTCATTACCATTTTTTCTAGTTTAAATGTGCTGTTTAAATATTTTTAAGAAATATTTCAAAGTCATATATTTTACCTCATTCTTCCTCCCTTTAAATTGATAATCCCCTATAAAATGATTTGAAAGTAACTTTAGAAGAGCAGGAGGAGATTAAAGCTGTTAAGTACCTCTTTGTTACATGGGTTACCTACATCATCACTTTCTGAAAATGCCCTTTCATTTACAAATCTCCCTGCTTTGTAGAGATAAATTCTGCCCACACACCAAATAAGAAAGTGGCAAGAAAAAAAATGAATAAATTAATAAATAGTAAAGTGCAGCATATCACATATTTAAAGAATTTGTCAGTCTTCCCAAAAGTAGATGAATCATCAATACAGTCTGGAAGTAGCACTACCTCAAATGTTTTTAAGGACATTAAAAATCTCTTCTGCTTCACTTTGAGGAAAATCTTAATGCTAATATCATTTGAGAGAATTCAATTTGAAATTTATATAAGAACTTCAAGAAATTTACCATAGCAGGTCTTCTTGTCTGAGGAAAGTTTCATCAAGTGGGGGCACGCACAAGCAGCACTCCTATTATGATTGATCAGACACATATGAGAGCAAGGTCCTTTGCCATCATTAGCTGCACAGGGATTGGAAGCTGTAATAACACAGTGAAATATTAACAGTGAAAAAGTAAAAGAAATATATTAGGGAACCTTTGAGGTTGACAGGGGTTATTCATGTAATGATTCAAAGTGAAGTTCCCTATATAGCACCCATTACTGGGATGATTAATATGACAATAATAGATAACCATACATAGCAATTGCATTAATAAAAACATTTTCCTCCTCAATGATAACAACTAAGTTAACTCCCTCAAATTTCTCTAAGTCGAAATATATGCATACTATTTCCTTAGAAGGAAAGATTTTGTTAAGGATTTTTTCTGAGGGAAAAAAAAGGAGTAATTATTAAATTTAGTTTATAATAAGCTCAACTAAACCATAATCCAGGAATTGAGTGTATCAATGGACATTGTTACTTTCCTAACCCACCATATAGACTACCTTTGTGCCTCAGCACACCACTCTTAAGTGTTTCTTCAGGAAACTGCTCTTGTTACATACATATCCTTCCTTCAGGTTATATGCTCTTTATCAAATCAGAGGTCTAAGTGAAGAAATGTTTAACATCCTTCATGATTAAGACATCTACGCTTTCTTTTTTTTTTTTTTTCCTCTCTACTAACTGGCTAAAGTTTCCTCTACTTACGCAGACCTGTTAAACTATATTGTATAAGTAAGTTATAATATATTCAAATTTAGAGTGGAATATTAAATTTTACAGCTCAATGTCATTCTCTTATTCTTTTGTGTTTCGTGTTCTGTCATTATGCCTTTTGGATAAGATTTTAATCTCAGTTGATCAATAACTATTCTCTTAAATCTTATTTTTATAGAACCTGTCTAGTAGAATAAGGATACTAAATTAAAGGCAGAAAAGTGTTACAACTTCTGATCCCACTGGCAGTATTTTAGTTTTCAACCTATTTCATCTTCCTAACAAGTGAACCTATTGTTCAAAGTAGTTAATGCCTGTTCTGTAGAGTTTTAAAGCACAAAGACCAAAAATAAATGGGTTATAATGAAATTGTAGAGGATATGAAAAATTAACTGTACTTGATACTCAATGTGGTTTTTGCTAGTATTTAGGTAAAATAATAATCAATGTCTTTGCATTTGCTTAAAAATAAATAAATCAAAGGAAATGAAAGACTCAGAAACCTTTTTATAAGAAAATCAATAAAGAAGAGATTTTAAGATGATGGCATAAAAGGATCCTGAACTCACCTTCTTCCATAGACACAACAAATCTACAGCCATATATATAGAATAATGCCATATGAAAAGGACCTGAAAGCTAGCTAAATAGCACCTCCACAGCAAAGAATAAAAGGGCCACACTGAAACAGGTAGGCGAGGCAGAGACATGGTTTCAGAGAAAATCCTCTTCAACCCTCACTGCTAGCTCCAGCCTGAATACCCTGACATTGCACACCTTAGCCACAACCTGTCCAGCTCTAACTGGCCAGCCAAGCACAGCACCCTCATGCACCATAGCCACTGCTTGTCCTACCAAAGCTGGGAGAGATGTACTGCATTCACAGGGGACACTTCTTGAGCATCTAGCTCTCTTGGTCAGGCGGGATTACATTTCTGGGCCGCATGGTCTGAAACATTTGGAGAAACAGACCTTGGCAGGCTACAGTCCCCAGAGCACTGCATAAACAGTAGACTGAAACACTTTCCCAGTATTTGTGTGAAAATGCCTATTTTCTTGTTCTGGAACTTAAGCCTGAGGACATTTAGAGGTCAGAGGCCCCCTGGGAATCTAAGTAAAGAATCACTATATTAGTGCCCTCTTTTGTCTTTGTTGATATCTCACAGAAAAGGGATTGTACATATGTTTAAAGGCATAATTTTTAAAACTGTTGTCCAGATCTCTCAGGTTTGAAAGTCAGCATGTTTTATGATTATGAACCACAGTTTATGATTAAGACTATATTTATACACCTTAAAGGCTGTTGCCTGAGGATCTATCTTGCAATAAGACTAAAACTATACACTGTCTAAAATCCCTCCCTTTGGAAAACTGACAGATTTTGGCACACCTGCAACACCTGGAACCTATGAAGAATAAATCGGGCTACTTAGACATAGGTGGGAGAAACAAACACAAGCTTAAAAAAAAGTTTAAAAGATAAGGCTTATCTGCTACACAAGTCTACTGCTTCAAGACAGAAAGGTAGCTGTTTCACCTAATGCATAAAAACAAAAACAGAGAGTCAAGCAAAATGAAGAGACATAGGAATAAGTTCTAAATGAAAGAATAAGACAAAGCCTCAGAAGAAAACCTTAATAATGCAGAGGTAAATAATCTACCAGGTAAGAGTTCAATGTTCGTGAAGATATTCACCGAACTCTGGAAAAGAATGGATGAACACAGTTAGAACTTCAACAAAGAGGAAGAAAACACAAGAAAGTACCAAAAAGAAGTCAAAAGACTATAATACAATATATTATAATAGCTGAAATGAAAAACACAATGGAGGGATTCAGAGGCAAACTAGACTAAGTAGAAGAATGGATCAGCAACATGGAAGACAAGACAGTGGAAATCATCCAATCAGTGGAGCAAACAGAAAAAAAAAAGCAACAAAATAATAACAACAAAAGTGAAGGTAGATTAAGGAACCTGTTGGATAATATCACACAGAATAATATGCATTATAGGAATCCCAGATGGAGAAGGAAGAGAGAAGGGTGGTAGATAATTTATTTAAAGAAATAATGACTGATCAAGACAGTATGGTACTAACACAAAAACAGACACATATATCAATGGAACATAGTAGAAAACCCAGAAATGGACCCACAACTATTTGATAAACAAACTTTGACAAAGCAGGAAAGAATATCCAATGGGAAAAAGACAGTCTCTTCAACAACTGGTGTTGGGAAAACTGGACCTCAAAAGGCAAAAGAATGACCACTTTCTTATATCATACACAAAAATAAATGGAAAACAGATGAAAGACCTAAACATGAGACAGGAAACCACCAAAATCCTAGAGAACACAGGGAGTAACCACTTTGACATTGACCATAGCAACTTCTTTTGAGATATGCTTCCAGAGGCAAGGGAAATAAAAGCAAAAATAAACTATTGGACTTCATTAAAATAAAAGCTTCTGCACAGTGAAGGAAATAATTAACAAAACTAAAAGACAACCTTCTGAATGGGAGAAGATATTTGTAAATGATATATCCAACAAAGGATTGGTATCAAAAAAAACAAAAAACAAAAAACAAAAAAACAAAAAACAAAAAACCCCACAAATAATCCAGATAAAAAATAGGCAGAAAACATGAACAGACTTTTTTCCAAAGAAGACAGACAGATGGCTAACAGACACATGAAAAGACGCTCATCAGGGAAACACAAATCAAAACTACAATGAGATATCACCTCACACCTGTCAAAATGGCTAAAATCAATAATACAAGAAACAGCAGGTGTTGGCAAGGATGCGAAGAAAAGGGAACCCTCTTACACTGTTGGTGAGAATGCAAACTGTAGCAGCCACTCTGGAAAACAGTATGGAGTTTCCTCAGAAAGTTAAAACTAGAGCTACTCTACAATCCAGCATTTGCACTTCTAGGTATTTACACAAAGGATATTAAATATTGATTTGAAGGGATACATGCACCTCGATGCTTTTAGCAACATTATCAACAATAGCCAAATTATGAAAAGAGCCCAAATGCCCATTGACTGATGAATAAATTTCATCAGATGCGGCATATACATACATGAAATATAACTTCAGCCATAGAAAGTGAAATTTTGCCATTTGCAACGATATGGATAGAGCTAGAGAGTATTATGCTAAGTAAAAGAAGTCAGACAAAGAAAGACAAGTACCATATGATTTCACTCATATGTGGAAATTAAGAAACAAAACAGATGACTATGGAGGCAAAAAAGGGAGGCAAACAAGAAAACAGACTCTCAACTATAGAGAATAAACTGACGGTTACTGGAGGGGAGGTGGGTAGTAGGATGGTGAAGTATTAAGGATGGCACTTGCGATGATCACTGGGTATCATATGTAAGTGATGAATAGCTAGATTTTACACCTGAAATTAATTACACTGTATGTTAAATATCTGGAATTTCAATAAAAACTTAAAAAAAATAAAGTATGGTTGAAAACTTCCATAATCTAGGAAAAATAAAGGGCGGGGGGAGATTAGACATCCTATTCCAGGAAGCACAGAGAGTCCCACATAAAATAAATAAAAAGGGATCCAAACCAAGATACATTAGAATTAAAATGTCAACAATTAAAGGTGAAGAGAGAATATTAATAGCAACAAGAGAAAAACAAATTCTTACATATAGGGGAACCTTAAGGCTATCAGCAGATTTATCAACAGAATGTTTATAGGCCACATGGGAGTGGGATGACATGTTCAGAGGGCTGAAAATAAAAACAAAACAAAACAAAGCAAGCAAAACTTCCATACAAAAATACTTTATCCAGCAAGGTTATTATTTGGAATTGAAAGAGAAATAGAGTTTTCCAGATAAGCAAAATGCAAAGGAATTCATTACCACTAAGTGGCCTTAAAAAAAATGTTAAAGAGACTTCTTTAAGATAAAAAGAAAAGGGAATAACTAATGACAAGCAAATATCTGAAAGTAAAAATCTCATTAATAAATGTAAATATATCATAAAGATAATGGATTAATAATTTATAAAGCTAATATGAAGGGTAAAAGACAAAAATACTAAAATTAATTATAGCTGTAATAATTAGTTATGGGGTATACAAAATAAAAAGATGTAAAATATGGTCTTTGCATGGCTCTCCCAGCTGATTCTCTCTGGGCACAATGGCAACTCTTAAGGAAAAACTGATTGCACCAGTTACAGAAGAAGAGGCAACCATCCCAAACAATAAGATCATTGTAGTGGGAACTAGACAAGTTGGTATGGCATGTGCTGTCAGCATTCTGGGAAAGTCCCTGGCTGAACTTGTCCTTGTGGATATTTTTGAAGATAAAGAAGAAAGGATGGATCTGCAATAT